ATATATATATATATATATATATATTATTAAGGCCTAAGTGTTTCTGTGACCTTGAATGAAAAAGTACACCTTTCCGCAAAGTGTACTATTTTAAACAAAGAACTCTTTATTATTCTATTTTAATTGTTGTACTTACCATATTGCATAATTTGTTGAATCTTAACTAACTCACTGAAGAGCTTTATCGCAACGCTCACGTGACGTGAAACCGTGCCTTTGGACGCCATCTTGGCTCAGCGCTCGTAGTTGCGAGTGGATAGTGGAACAAAAGGTAGACACTTTCATCATGTTCAAGAGAAAGTAGGTCAAGAAAGAAGAAAGTTTGGCAACAGGAAAGAAGACGTTTTAATGTCAAGAATGCGTATTGGACATTGTCTGTTAAATCAGTGTCTGTATAGAATGGGGAAGCATGAAACTGGAAAGTGTGACAAATGTGGTCATGCAGAATCAGTAGAACATGTACTTATAGAGTGTGTTGCATATGAAGGAGCAAGATTTCAACTAATTCAAGCTTTAGGATCATTCGGAATAAATAATTTGTCACTTCAGGTTCTGTTAGGAAATAGCCCAAAGCAATCAAGAATATTTCATGAATTAATAATTTTCTTAAAAGAAACAAGACTGATCAATAGAATTTAGGATACAGGTGTAGTAAATAAAGCAGGAATAATTGGCGTTGTATTATAAAAGGAAAAAAGGAAAAAAGGGAAAGGAAAGGAAAAGAAAAAAAAAAAAGAAAAAATATTATATATATATAAAAATTTTTTTGTTTTTTTTTTTGTTTGTTTTTGGTTATAGTTCTCAAACTTCCAATCATTATGCGCTCCACACTCCTATCCAGTAGGTGGCGGGAATGCACCATTTAAGTTGGTTTGCCAACCGCCATTAAATTTAAAAGAAGAAGAAGAAGAAGAAGAAGAAGATCCGTAATGACATCAGTTTCCTGCATGTGCTTACAGTTGTTCCCTGGTTATTTCAGGAGTCATGAACGCTGCTTCGCTGGTCCAGAGGTTAGCAGGGATTTCTGGAGCTCTTGCTGTCGCAGCAGGTGCATATGGTGCTCACGGTAGGTCTCCTTTCTGATCGATTGTGTTTTATTTGGCTGATGGGTCTCGTCAGGCGATTGCTGCGTTAAGACTACTGTAAATATTACACTACGGGGCACTGGATAGGTCGAACGCGACCGAGCGCACGCCAGTGAGCGTTTTCTGAAAGTTTTATAAAGCTTTTCTGCAACTTTTTCGTGTCTTTCTGTCCTGGGCAGGATTCAGACGCAGCGAAGCGAGTGATTACCAGAGAGAGGTGAGTATATTTGGCTATTTATGTTCTGTTGCTGTGTCACTCTGATCATCTTGACGAAATTATTATCTACAAACTGGTTTGTTTTGTACACAGAGAGGACCTTTGTATGGAAGTCAGTTTCCACCAAATTACAGTAGAAAAAAAATGCTTTGATACATCATAATTATGACATGAAAAGTCAAAACTCTGAAAGAATGTTTGTCATAATTATGACAGACATTTTTACTGTCATAATTATTAGTCAAAATGTCGCCCCTTTATCTTAGTTATGACTTAGTATCATAATTTTGACTTTTTATGTCATGATTATAACTTTTTTTTGTCTCATAGTTATGATGAGTTATCTCATAATGTCAACTTTTTACTTATTTATTTATTGTTTGTTTGTGTGTGTGGTGGAAATTGGCTTCCATAGTATGGGGTTGGGAGTAATAGACCAAGTTTTTCACTATGTAACTTACATTATTGATATTTAAAACAGAGGAAACCTTCTGAATGTCATGCATTATTCATATTTATTTTTTATTATTTAGGACAAGGTGCAACACTTTTAGCCCAAAATTTTAGCCCATGTTGTATTTTTTCCGTTCTTTTTGTCTCTTCAGTTGTATGATACAGCAAACAAGTATCACATCTACCACAGTCTGGCATTGTTAGGAGCCGCTCGCTGTAGAAAACCTGCTCTGGTAAACGCCTCTTATCATTTTTACATTAACATAAACATTTTCAGCTGAAATCGGAGTTATGATAACTACAATGATTAATGATATTGTTCAAATTTAGGCTGATTTCAGGTAAATCCAGTCACCTAGCCTAAATGTCTCAAAGTGTCCCAAATTTATCTGAATTAATTTTTTTACGTTATAACTAGGGCTGCACGATTAATCGAATGCCATTGTAATGCGCATTTTGTTAGTAATGCCGGTTCTGTAATCAGCAGTAGTCGTGTGTTTATTAGTCACATTGAATCAATGAAAGCAGTTGAATCTTCTGTTGTTTATTCAGCTGCAGCGATAGGCATTTTCTGGGTTTCTTCTGCGAGGCGTATTTGGAGTTTTAGCGCGAGAGCGCCCTCTGGCCTTTGGATGGAGATTTACTGCTGATCACAGAACCGTGCTTCACTGAAAGATAGGCATGACAATCGCAGCTTCTGTCGAATCGCGATCTCGATTCCATTTCGATTTATCGTGCAGCCCTAATTATAACCCTTATGTCTACTATATACCTGTCAAATATATGGCTGTTTGCGATATTTTATTGTGATTGGTCAGTGGCAGTATTCTGTGATGTAATATTGTCTAATTATTCTAAATTGTATAAATTAGCAGTTGTCCCAGGCAACCGATTTCCTAATAGCAGTGTTTTATGTCTCTCTGCTTTCTATCCCGCTGTGGTCTCTTGTTTCTCGCATTATTAAATAGTAGATCATTCAAATCAATATATCATGTCGATTTAATCATTTATTTGCTAAGTAGCCTTGTAAAAAGCAGGATAATGCGCTGTCAGCCTCTCATCATAAAATAAATCCTTTTAGGTATGTGGGTGATACAAGCCCCCTGCACTTTGTGCATTGTTAAACTGTAATCTGTCTGTGATAATGAATTATAATGTCATTGTGATAATGTCACTGCAAACCCGTATGCTGTTACATTTTCTGTGAAACAAAAAAAAAAAGAATAATTTCATTACAATTCTTGGATTCTTTAAAATGGCCTTCAGAAGAGAAACATGCTTTCACCACTTATAATGGTTTAGTTACAGTATCTGGACCATGGCTGCATTTGAAATCGCATATTCTCTGAGTAGGTACTTAAAGTAAGTAATTACTCCACGACTGCTAAAAAAATGTTCTATATGGTAGGGCTGCGCAATATATCGAAATATCACAAATGTACATATCGCAATATGCATATCGCTACAGCTTGCATTATTTGGGGCCATGAACAAAAGACAAAGAGAAAATCACTCACTGCTCTTACCTAAATAACTTTTGTAGCTTAAATAAGAATCAGTGCATATTGAATTCAAAGAGTAAATACTACGCAGTGTTTTATTTTTCCTTTTTATTATTCAGTTCCTAAACTCGTGTTAAAATGATTACACTAATGTTAAAATTACATTTTTATGTAATGCTTGAGTAAAACACTACCTTTCACTTTCAGAAGTTGTTGTAGGGGTGCTTTCTTATTAGAATCAGAATAAGCTTTATTCACCACTTAAGTGTGCGCAAACACAAGGAATTTGTTGTGGTTTTACAGGAACTCTTGATACATACATACAAATAACCATATATATATATATATATGACACAAGATAGTTATAGAAGTTCACAGAACTGACTCAACAACAGCTGAGTAAAACGGTTTCATCTGAGCATGTGGCACTTTAAGCATTATCGTATTGTATATCGCATCTTTCTTTAATATCGCACAGCCCTACTATATGGTATGAATGTGTGTAGTGTCAATGTAATCCAAACATACTATTTTACTATATATTTATATATTAAGCAATACATTATATATTAGAATATATAATATTATATCACCCGCCAGCATCAGTTGAGTCACTTTACTGCCATTCACAAATCCTTTCCCATGGCCTCGTGGCGGGATAGTAAAGTGTCCATCGGAGGTGTACTTCAGAATCTCACCAGAACGAGTTATTTTTCGGGGTAATTTTTGAGGGTATTTTTCACCTACTGTTTTGTGAATACTGTGAATTTGGACATACATCTCTTTTCACAAACTGTTAGTCGCCTACTATATAGTGAAGTATGTGATTTCAGATGCAGCCCATGTTAATCTGCCACTCTTTTGGGTTGAATGTCAGTAACGTCATCAAATGTCACTGATTTGTGACAGTATCTAATGACTGAACATCACTGATATCAAACCTGACACCTGGAACCCTATTTAATTTCCATGTCTGCATGTATTATCAATCTATCCTGTTTTATCAATTTCCATGTCTAAATTCACACAACAAACCCATTCTTCTTTTAATCATTGTCAGGTTGAATAACATACCAAGTGAATGAATATAGTAGAAGAATGATACTCATTATGCTCTATTTCTACCATTTACTTGATGACCTCCATAGAACAGAATGTCTGTTGGTTTGGAATTAACTGAATAAAGCACCAAAGCTTAAGTAGAGTTTATATTGAGAACTGAATGACTTCGATAAGGAACAAATCAGTTGCAATCACATAAATTAACGCACTACTTTTTTCGTTAAGGCAGGTGCAGTCCTCCTCGCTGGCATGGGCTGCTTTTGTGGTCCCCTCTACCACCAGGCCTTAACCAATGACCCCAGCTTCAGCAAGCTGGCGCCAATTGGAGGCTCATTGCTCATCGTTGGCTGGGCTGCGATGGCTCTTTGAACTTTGACCCCATTTGGCAATTTGGCAGACCTTGACCCTGTGATTTCAACGTTCTCAGAGATTGTTCCGTTTTGTCATTTAAACAAGAAAAGAAGAGCCACAGGGGGGATGAAGAAGAGAGGGGTGGAGAATTTCACATTTTATCTAACCCCATTTTTAGTCATGTCTGGAAAGTGATGATAAGGCTTTGGGATCAAACATAATTCTTTTTTTTTTTCACACTGTCACAGGCATCTTTATTTTGTCAGCATAGGAAAAAAAAATTTTGAGCCGTTTTGTCATTTAAACAAGAAAAGAAGAGCCACAGGGGGGATGAAGAAGAGAGGGGTGGAGAATTTCACATTTTATCTAACCCCATTTTTAGTCATGTCTGGAAAGTGATGATAAGGCTTTGGGATCAAACATAATTCTTTTTTTTTTCACACTGTCACAGGCATCTTTATTTTGTCAGCATAGGAAAAAAAACTTTTGAGAAGGTTTCGTTTATGGCTTATTGCCGAGAGTGAATGAGTCACACTCTGGGTTTGTTCATGTTTTGAAAGTGTATGGACGTACTTTTCCTTTGTTTGAAAAAATAAAGCTGTCTGCAAAGTTAATTGCCAGTTTGACCTTCTGATGTTGGAGGAAATATCTCTCTGAACAACTCTCCCAGGTCAACGATCTAAATAGCCTTCAGGCTTTTATCCTGTAAGTATGACAGTACAAAGCATTCCATTATCGGCAAACTCACTTTTAGCTCTTCCAGTGTCCAAACTTATTTTATTCAAATGAATAGTGAAATCCAATGAGGTTCTAATTCCAGGGCCTGTGTCTGTCGGCACATAGCTGGATTGGGGACCTTTGAAAATTGCTTTATAAATCCTCAGGTCAATTTGCAAGGGCAGCTTCATAAGCCAACTCTATTGAGGCGAGAGGCTTCTATTGATGCCGCACATCCCAATAAGGTGATCACACCACTCGTAAAACCCTCATTAACTCGGGCTATTAGCAGAGCCGTGCAAATCAGGGCAAGGCAATCAAACCACTTCAGTCCCCTCCTCACCATGCTGATGGAAGAATAAGACATTTCTCAGTGCTTGTAGAAAGAAATACATTCATATTGGAAGGACTGATCAGTATAAAGGCATTTTCAGTTATGGATGTATAATTGGGTATGATTTTGGTGTCTGTATGGCACCAAACTGAAACCTGTTTTGAAAAGTTTCTTCCTTGTTTCCTCTTCCTCCTCCCTGACATTTCAATAGTGCTGGGAATTCCACCAGTCGCTCATTACTGAAGTCAGATCAGGGTCTCCTCGTTAAATCCATAAAGGCGTATCGCGCCCTGCTTCATGAGGCCGTGTTAAGTGTCTCCTCCCTGGCTCTGTCTGGATAGATGCAGCCAGTAAAAATCAATGTTTAAAGCAACCAATACATTGCAGTGGCCCTGTGGTCATTCGGTCATTAAATTCTCATCGTGCTTGAATGATCTTTCTGTGTTTGAACCAGCATCTAAGGGGCAACGCTGTGGGCAAGCAACTTTTAGCTTGGTTTTGCTTCAATTGGGTAAGAAGCGGTCAGTGGCAGTATTGTTAATTGCGACTCATGGGAGCTTAAGTCTCTCTTTGTCGGCATTCATGTGGCTTAACTTCCTCCCCTGAACACCAACTGACATTTTGCATTTACCCTTAGTGCAAGTTCATTTTCCAGTCTGATTTAGTGCGACCCCGGTTGTCGAAAGCGGCGTTATCTGAAGGTGTGGGATGTTAGGATTTTTTTTTAACTTTGAATGAAATGCCCACACACACTGATATTACTCAAACCCTCTCTTTCCTGCTCCCTTTTTTGAGGTGCCAATCATATCAACACATCCCACAGAAGATTACTAAAACAATTTCAACATGTCAGTCTCTTTTCAACCCCTGCACCAAAATGTGCTGCTTCAAAAGCTGTCACTAAACATTCTTCAATGTTAAAATCTCATTTGAACTGCTGTCCAGCCTTTTTTGGGCCATAAATATGGCCACTGCAGTTTTGTGTGAGAGGCAAGTGGATCTTGTTAGTACAAAAGCTTGATTAAAGAATTGAATACAAAAGAGTTTTGTATTATAAATGAAGATATAATTATATGTGCATTAGATTACAGGGTTCAGTCGTTAATTAGAAGGTGTAGAGCTGTTGGGGATGGTGCAGAGAGAATGATACTGCGGAAGTGAAGAATTAAAAGCACTTCACTGTCTTTGGCCTCCTCCGTTTCTTCTACGGCATCAATTATCTGTGCTGTAAGCCTCTCAGATGCTGCTTCAAAGGGGAGGTATTTCAAGGTGACACCACAGCAGAGGGGGTTGGAATGGGACGGGGAGAGCTGGCGAGGGTTTTGAAAATCTTTTGATCACTTTTCACCTCCTGGAAAAAAGTATTCGAGCCGAGGAGAGGAGGAGTTTAAAAGCTGTCGCGAGTATTTGACTGGAGTCCATGATGTCTGTCTTTTAAAAGCTTGTGTCCTCAAAAGAGTTGCGGTTCTCGGACCTCTTCATGTTGCAGACCAGATCACCAAAACAAAAAATGCGGACCACCTAAAACTCCAGATTTGGGGAAAACATTCAGCAACCTCAAAACAATCATACATTTTTTAAGTGCACAAGTTATACTTCGTTTACTCATTAATCAAATAATTGCAATTCATGTCATATTGTCTTTATACTTGCATTGTGTTGAAAGCCTTTACCTTTTAACAGAAGTAAAAACAAATCCGCATTCAGTTTTATGAAAAATAATGTTATGAAAATGTTGTATCTTTCCCGGGAGTTTCTCCTCACGATCACCTTTATCTTGCTCTCTGAAGATTCCAAGACTGTATTAAAGCTGCTTTTGAACAATATTTGTTATGAAAATCCCATAAAGATACAACTTCAATTTTTATTTTTTATTTTTTTTAAGTCGTCTCATATTGTCGCCAAGGCTGCATTGATTAAAAATACTATAACACTCAGTAATATTTTTTTTAACAATTTAAAACCGCTGTTTTCTATCTCTATGTATTTAAAAATTTATTTCTGTGATGGCAACATTGAATTTTCAGTCCTCAGTGTCACGTGGTTCTTCAGAAATCATTCTAATGCTGATTTGGTGTGCAAAAACCTCTTTTGTTATCAATGTTAAAAACAATTATGCTGCTTCTTTTTTGTGGAAACTGATTCATTTTGTTCTTTGATTGATAGAAAGTTCAGAAGAACAGAATTTATTTGAAATCTTTTGTAACAAATATTTGAATTTTTGACATTTTTGAAAAATACGTTTATACCACTTTTTACATTTGTAACAAACATTTGTTACAAAAGATTTCAAATAAATTCTGCTATATAGCATATATTGTATATATATAGCATATACTGTGCGTATATATATATATATATATATATATATATATATTAGCATATAATATGTGTGTGTGTGTATATATATAATGTGTGTATATATAGCTGCCTTTCAGGAATGGGTGTCCACTTTTTACCAATGATCATTTCTGTCCTTGTTTCAAAATTAAATTAAATTATTATAATAAAATATAGAGATATGTTTATAATAGAATAGAATAAAATAGCAGAACTTAAATATGTAACAGCGTTAAAACAACGTCGATTGTTTATTGTGAGACATAAATCAGTGCACATATAATATAGTATGTATAATTGCACCTAAAGCTCATGGCCTGGATAGATTTGTGTCCCGTTAAAAGCACTACTAATCCCAGGATTCTCGGTGGAGCTCCGTGATTTCCGGGGAAAGTATTGCCAGTGGGAAGGTGCGCGCAGGGGGGGACCTGTTGGAAATGACGCGAGCTGAAATCTTGTTTCAGACAAGAAATCACAACAAACAACCCGGGGTCTAAGGCAGAGTGCGCCGAGCCAGCGGAAAACAGGGTGTGTGTCCACTATAAACAATGAATATCATCGCTGAATCTGGTGAAGTTTAGCTGGTTAGCACGTTAGCTAGTCTGCTCATTTGGGCTGCTTGATCTTCACGCATCTCATGAAAATAATCTATTCCCTCTCATATAATACGTCATGTGGAATTCTTGTTTAGATGACATATTTCAGAGGTGTTGCTACGTTTATAATAATGACCTGTCAAGTAGTTCAGTAGTAATGTCTCGCTAAAGAGACATTAGCTGGCTAATTAACTTAGCTGATTAATCTGCCCACTGACCTATATTCCGCTTCAGCCGCTATGAATAACTAACCTGCGTTTAACTATTTAGGTGGTATTAAAAATTAATCTGAGTTTGAGATGGGGTAATTAGTGGTAAAGTTACTGAGTAAATACGGGTTTTCTGCATCTGCGGTTTAGTGTGCTTATTACTTGATGGCGTAAAACGTTTAAAGGGGTCGTATGATGCTTTTTTTAAAGATCATTCTCGTTGGTTTTGAGACTTTAGTCTTTGCAACTTCAGGGATCTTATCTATGCACAATCAGCTTGTAACACTCCAAAGAGAAAGGAAAACTTGAAATCGCATCATATGACCCCTTTAAAATTAAAATTCATACATTTATTGCGAGTCGTTGATACTCATATTGATACGTGTGATGATTTTGTGACAGTATTGGGAATATTGTGGTTTCTCTCAGGTAATGCTCAATGGAGACGCTCATGAGTGCCGTGGCCCTGCGTGCGCCAGCGACGGTAAAGCGGGGGTCCGAGGTGGACTTCCGCTCGGGCACGACTCTGGAGCAGCTGTCGGCTCAGGTGCAGGAGCTCGTGCAGCTGGAACAGGAGGAGTTCGGAGACCAGACCGCGCTCGAGGTGCACACGGCCAAAGACTTCATCTTTAATATGCTGGGTGAGAATATCACCGTGTACATGCATACATAAATATAATAATGTTAATGCTGTCCTCCAAACATCTTTATATTACTGCTGTAGTTGTTTGAGTAAAGTCAGAACAATAATATCACCTTGTTATACGTTTATTTTCCCATTGATACCCATTTGTTTTCATTGGCCTATTAGGACTATATTCTTGCCAATTGTATTTCCTATTTGTGTCTTAATTTTCTGGTTAAAGTTTTTGTATTACTAAATTTTATGATGACGTTTCTTACTGTGAAGCACTTTGGTCAGTCTTGTGGCTGTTTTTAATGTGCTATATAAATAAAGTAAACAAACTATTTAGGCATGGTCAACTTCATAATGAAGATGAAAGTTGGCACTGTCTTTTCAGAACATAGTCAAAAATTTTTAATTGGTGTGTATTTTCTCTCTCTCTCTCTCACTCACTCACTCACTCACGCACTCTCTCGCTCTCTCACTCTCTCGCTCTCTCTCTCTCTCTCTCTCTCTCTCTCTCTCTCTCACACACACACAAGTCTAAGTAACGGTTTATCTATCTGTATATAATATTAATAACATTTAAAAAAAAAATACTAATAATATATACAACATGCAAATATCTTCAATATTCTTATTCACATTCAGGAAAAGGATGTGAATGAAAAGGAAAATGAATTTTCTAAATATCCCATTTCTGGCCAGAAATTTCAGTTTTTAAGCAAGATTATTGAGATTATTATTGTACTGATAAGCTTCATTTATCCAGGCCTCTGTTTCAGAGCTTGGGCCACGTGAAGCTGTTTGTCCAGCAGATGTCTCTAGTTCCCCTTGTTTGTTTTCCCCCCTCAGTACATCACACCAGACCTCCCCCAACACCCATTTCTTGCCCTCCCCTGCCACAGTGTAAACACAATAAATGTCATCCTTTTTGTATGACATAAGTGAGGGAGAGACAGATTTGCAGAACTGTATTGTTCTTTAAAAACATCACTGAAGCTGCTTCACATAATCCTGTCAAATGCTGGAAAAATTATCTTTTTCTCTCATTCAGTTTTTCCTCCCTGACCTGCTGTTTTTTTTAGCCATAGCCTCCTCTCTTCTCCACTCTTCTGTTTTTGTTTCACATGTTGCATTGTTACCTGTGAATGATACAGTACTTGGATTTACTTTTGGACCTTTGTTTACTGACAAGGTTGAATTATTTATTTTTCCTCCCAGTGTAACTCTTGTGTTTCTTTTTGTCTGCCTCCTGTTGCTTTCATTTCCCTTTTCCTCTCGTCTTTAACCCCTTGATGTTCAGCCAAAAGCCTACTTATTATTCTTGCTTGCTGTTTCCATCTCTTGCTCACTAAAAATATGCAGACATTTTCAAAGCAACATCCATCACACACCTACTGAGAGTGATGGGTAGAAAGCTTTTTATTTTTATGCTAGGTAGGGTGCTCCTTAGCATTCATTTAGAAAATTCTGCCTCGTTATGTATGAATGAAAAACTGATGATCTAGTTTTGGTGACCCTTACCTGTCCATCAGGGTTTAGATTTTAATTCACTTCAGAAGACCTGAATAGATACATGTAAAGCATGTGCCTTGATTTAAATTGGCATTGTTGTTTGCTTCCTTTAGCAATCATCATGATTTCTATTTTCACGCTTCCATGACCTGCATACATTAACATACCGTCTGCGTGCCAGCCTCTAGACTCACTACAATCCTGCAAACGTGTTTCTCCCAGAGGAGCTAATTAAAATCGGAACAGTGTTAAAAATGTAAATGGCAAAAGAGATCATTGTTATTGTAGAAAAAAAAAACATTCAGCTTTGTTGTCCTGGAGTGAAGGTCACAGGGTCCCCGCAACAAACACCATAAACAATTTTTAAATTGTAAATATTTGTATTGTTCTTTTCGTGTAGTCGTGTTGGTTTTCGCTAACTTTTTTTTTCTTCCTTCATCAGAACAAATTAAAATGTAATAAATTTACTATTTATCAGGGAACATTTTGTTAAAGGCGTCATATGATGCTATTTTCAAAGATAATTATTTATTTATATATATATATATATATATATATGTGTTAGCATGCTTTAAAAAAAAAAACACATTTTCATTGTAGCTCCTCTGTGCCCAGTCTTTCTAAAATATGTTGATTTCTACAAAGCCCCTCCTTATGAAAAGCGCAGTGTGCTCTGATTGGCCAGCCGACCCAGTGCATTGTCATTGGATGAACATCAGATCTCAAAATTGTACCAGAAATGTAATGCATAATTTTCATTAAAATAAAGTATATTTATAATGCAATGCCTTTATCACTGCTTAAATAATATGAAATATGTTGCGGGCCTTATTCTGTGTAAGAAGCCAGATCATCTCACAGAAGGATTTATTTCAAACACTCGACTGACGTTATGAAGTGAGTTTGGAGTAAAAATATGTTATTAAATGTGGTATTTTCACATGCTTTCAGATGGAGCAGCATTTACTACACAGAGCCGTAGTTCACTGAGAAGCTATGCAAACAGCTGTCATTATGGCGAACGATTTCTTCGATTTCAGAATCACACAATAAAATCGTCTGGGTTTTTTTTTTTTTGCGTAACTTGTCAGTGAACTACGGCTATGTGTTGTAAATTCTGCTCCATCTGAAAGCACGTGATGATGATTTCCTGCTGATTACAGAACCGACTTTTTTAACAAAATGCACATGACAAGCGCATTCGATTAATCGTGCAGCCCTAAATGGGATCCAAGGTTGTTCATCCATCATACAGTATACACACATTAATGATAATGTATATGTGCTTGGACAGACAGATTACATTGCATCATTATCATGCATCATCACTGTGCATCTTGTGTTATTTAAATCCGTAATGTTACAGTTATTTAAGTTAAACATCACAAATGTCAAATGAATGAGTTCAAAGTCTTAGGCCTATGTGTAACTCATGCTTTGACAGCAGTGCATGCTGGGCTCTGATATGTGACTAGTACACATGTATGCTAACCAGCTTCCCTTTGGCATCTGTCATGGAGAGTGATGCTTCGTATTGAAGGCATTAGTTTTTTTTGTTTTGTTTTCAAGTGGTCAATGTTGAACGTATGAGGGAGTGATGAGTGAAATGCACCAGGTGCTGTTGGCTTCTGCTTTATGGACTAATGAACGTAACAAATTCATTTGTATAAACAAACTAGTAATTAAAGTCGTTGCTGCTTGTGTTGGACAGCATGAATTTAACACCCCCAGCACGAGGACAGTTCTTTTCCTTATTTCTCTAGTGAATGATTGTCTTCAGATTATGGGTCATTAAAGCACGATTAAGTAACACATCCATATAGCAGCTATACTTGCAGTATTCAGTAATTGTCGTCCTCTCAAAGCATCCTTTTCATTACAGTGGTTTGAAATGAAATAAAATTAGTTTGTGGTAAATAATCCTAAATAAATATGTGTAGACAAGTTTCTGCCATTCATAAAATATTAAAAGGCAAGATGGTCATTTTAAAGAATTATAGAGCTGGGTTACATCTGAAAAGGAGAGCAATGGCTTGAATTGAAAAGCAGAATTGAGGGAGACTATTAATGTATTTCTACAAAAATTATCTGTAATGTTTGTTCTACAGCCTTATATTCTTACAGATTTAAAAGTATGAAATTTATCTAAATGCCAGGAATTTTCTTTAAATTGAGTCCTGCTCATAATCAGTTGTGTGCCATTGGGCTGCACATTTGAATGTTTCTGCCCTTCATTTCACCTCTGGCCATTTAGCAAGACACAAACAGGTCAGGAAGTTCGGCCAGGTGATGCTTTTCCTCATTAGTAGGGTGAAGATTATTATTAGTGCACTTTCCTTGGGAGCAATAATGTAAGAAAATATTTTCTTCATATATTTTGGCAGTTGGTTAAAAGAAGAACTTATAAGACGCTGTAAGTCACTAATAATTTTTTTTTTCAGAATTTTCCAGCAGTAAGGGATAGTTCACTCAAAAATTACAATTGTCATCATTTACTCACTCTCAAGTTGTTCCAAACCTGTATGAGTTTCTTTCTTCTGTTAAACACAGAAGAAGATATTTTGAAGAAAGTTGGTAACCAAACAATTGTTGGTAGCCATCGACTTCCATAGTATGGCAAAAAAAAATGTCAATGAGTCAATGGCTACCAGTAACTGTTTGTTACCAGCATTCTTCAAGATATCATCTTTTGTGTTCAACAGAAGAAAGAAACTCAAAGAGGTTTGGAACAACATGCAAACAACATAATAAATGATGAAAATTTTTTTTTTGTTTTTGTTTACTGTCCCTTTAATTTGTTTAGACGTATGATAACATTGCCCTCTCCTCTCACTCCTTCGCATTCAATGTCTACCTACCCTTTCATTTGTCTTTTTAAAGACAGGTGATATTACCTCTTTTTGTCATGAATATTCTTCATCTTCACAGGCCTGGTGCAGAAGGTAGACAAGCGACTGCCGGTTGCCAATGAATACCTGCTGCTATCAGGTGGGGCCAGGGAAGGTGTTCTTGACCTTAACCCAGAGGACCTAGGTGACTACGCCAAAGGTGTTGACTTTGATTTGGACTTCACTCTTCTGGTGCCTGCTCTTAAACTGCATGACCGCAATCAGCCCATGACACTGGACATGCGGCATTCCCCACCGTGCCATTCGTGGCTGAGTCTTCGCCTCTGCGATCCTGCAATGCAGACGCGTTGGAGTATCTGCTGTCAAGACGAGGAAAATAGAGACAAAGATGTGGAAGATGAGGAGGAAGAAAATGATGCAGTACGAGGCTCAATCCCATCCCTGCAGCCTCCTCAGTCATTAGATGGATGTTACTTCTCTCCGTTGTTGGTTACTGACTGGTTCTGGAGTGTAGTTGGAACGGCGGTGGAAGAGTTGCGGCGAAATCCTCAAAGAGGGATTCCTGTTCCTGATCGTGTGGAGCGGAATGGTCCACTAACGACGCTGATTCTCAGTGCAGGAACTAGCCGTATCCTTTACGACTTGCTTCCAGTGGTGTCATTTCGCGGCTGGCCGGCTGTCGCACAGAGCTGGCTCACGACCAACCATTTCTGGGATGGCAAAATAACTGAGGAGGAGGCCATCAGCGGATTCTACTTGCTTCCTTGTTGTTCTCCAGCTGCCAGCCCCTCAACCAGACCTGACCGCGAATGGAGACTTGCCTTCTCCCGCAGTGAGGTTCAGCTAAAGAAATGCGTGCCCTACCCAATGGCACAAGCCTTCCAAGCAGCTAAAGCTGTACTGTCAAGACTATTAGCTCGCCCTCGCACTGGCCTTAGCCTCTACCACCTACGTACCTTGATGTTTTGGGCTTGTGATCGCTTGCCTACGACCTACCTTAGCTGTCCAGATCACGAGACTCCTGCACGGATGTTCCTTGGTCTACTTGATGACTTGGCTCACTGCATTCTGGGCAAAAACAGTCCTAATTACTTCCTCCCCCAGTGCAACATGCTGGAGCACCTCACGGACAGCGCTGCCCTGCTAGTGGCACGAAAACTTGCACATTTACGTTCCGATCCCGCAGAGCACTTAAGAGTAGCTTTGGAGCAGGCACAACAGGCATGCCAGCTCAAACGTGAGGCCGCAGTAGCTGCGAGCAATGGCCATGGGATATCATCACCTAGCCATGGATATGGTGCAGGATCACCACAGGATGATCGGCTAGCACAGCGTCTACAACAGCTGGTGACAGAAAACCCTGGCAAGTCTATTTCAGTCTTCCTCAACCCAGATGACGTTACACGCCCGCATTTCCGCATTGACGACAAGTTCTACTAAGTGGACTGAGCTGGTTTACATGCTGCCCAGGGTGTAAATGACATAAACCCTATACGACAGAACTTACAGAGGACATAGTCATGTCACTTTGCTACTGTATCACACCAAATAGTAAAATTGAGTCTCCACAGAGGGTTTTCTTCCCTCTGTTTGGCTCAACCAGGCTGACTACAATCAAAGCACTTGCTTGACACTCCAATGAGGGATTGTATGAGTTTCACAGGTGTCACAAATGTCAGGGAGAACAAAAGTAAGCGGGCAAGGATAGATTTTAGTTATGCGACTCATATAAAATCGAAATTCAATTGCATTCAAAGGAAATCCCCATTGGCAGACTGCACATCAAGTAGACTTTATTCAGTGATACTATTCTGTAGAGTTCAAATACTTTTTTTTTTACCTGCTACTCAATACTACTGAGAAAGGAAACTACTATTTTCTGCTGTATTCCACAATGAATCCCGAGGGCAGTAGAACTGGAAAACCAACTAGGCCAAGGTACATTATGATGAAATCGAATGTAATTTTTTTTGTGTGTACAGTGGGTACGGAAAGTATTCAGACCCCCTTCAATTTTTCACTTTTTTATATTGCAGCCATTTGCTAAAATCATTTAAATGGCTGCAATATAACAAAGAGTGAAAAATTGAAGGGGGTCTGAATACTTTCCGTACCCACTGTATGTGTGGAGAAGTTTGCGACTGTTGATCACATAATCTTCTCTTTCTTTAGTCCGTCAGTTACCCTGCTTGCTCCCTTTCTCAGGTACTTTTTCTTTTTTCTTTTAACTGGCGAGTCTTGAGTTGTTCTACAGTCAAAAATAACAAAAGCAGAAAGAGAGAAAAAGGCAAGGAATAACTTGCAAATCTAGGCCTTGTCCTTTATGTATCAGAAGCTGTTGTACAGCCCACAGAAACTATTATTTGAAACCAATGCTGTTTGAAGCTATTTTTGTTGATTTTTTTTTTTTTTAGGTTAAGTTAAATGCAGATGGTGCTGTATCAAGTTTCAGAGACTATTTTAGATTAGTTGGAAAATGATAGGTTGAACTGACGACACTGATTGATGCAGATTTAGTATCTTCTTGGTTCCTGATTGGATTCTAAGCTGCACATAAATAAGCAGTATGTGTTAGTGTTATTCTAAGGGCTTTTCTTTGTCAGTCATTGTTGCATATGTCTGGGTAAAATGGAATATGAAAGATGCTTTGGAATGTGGGATTTTGTGGTGATAGGTTTGCCAGCACTGTTTGAACTGGAATAATAGAAAGACCGATCTAGAGCGGGCAACAGAGGTTTAGAGAAAGGATAGAAGGAACATGTAAAGATACAGAGGAATGCATCTCCATGTCTTTTGTGCTTGTGAAAGGGTCCTACAGTATCTCACTCTTGCAGATTTGCACATGGTACAGGTTGGCTATTATACATAATATCTGCTGTATGCCAAGGAAAAGACACCAAAGAGAGTTTAAATTGCCGATTGCTTAGATTAAATGTCATAAAGGAAAACGGATTTATCTCTATTGTATATTGTGAGGGTTTGACACTGTATACCTTAAAAGGCCTATTTAGTGGGTTTAAAAATTGTAAAATGCTTGAATCAATATTTGTAATGCTATTTTAAATTGTTTTTTTCTGCATATGTTATAAACTGTTGTTTAGCACAATGTTGGATATCAAATGAACAGTGGTACTATGCAATATTTCATAATCATCTCTATGAATGTGATATTAGGGCCTGCCATGCCTGTGATAATTACCAAGAGTGTTTTATACAATGATTTCATTGGAAAAAAAAAAATAATGTTCACATTTCAGGTGAAATATCTGAAGGAAACCAAAGCACATTCATTTTCCTTCCCACCTTTTTAATGATGTGGTCCCAATTGTCTTTATCTGATGGCATAGTCCCTTAGGTCATGCTGTTGTGTAAAAAAAAGTATATGTGTGTGTGTGTGTGTGTGTGTGTATGTATGTATATGTATGTATATATATATATGTGTATGTATGTATATGTATGTATATATATATATATATGTGTATGTATATATTTATGTATATATATGTATATGTATATATATGTATATATATATATATGTATATGTATATATATGTGTATATATATATATATAATTTTTTTTTTTTTGGCCTCAAGCAGAAAAGAAAATATGAATGTAAGCAACATATTTTACCTCTTGAATTAATCTGGTCATCAAATCAAATTCCCTGAATGGAAATGGAACAATGCATACTGTATTTACATTGTACCAAATATTTATATATTTCATATAATTTCATTAATGTGCCTCCCTCTTATTTTCTTTTGTGTAATTATGTGTAATGATGCTGGTCATAGCATGAAATAAAACATTACATCTATGAGGATTTGTACTGTTTATACTTGACTTGGTCATCTGAAATCTCAAAGATATTATCTATTCTCTAAAGACAAGATTTCTGTCAGGTTAAATGTATTTCTCGATAGGAGCTTTTAAGTATGCCAAACTCCAGGTATCACCCCTAAAAACAAAGTGCATTTGTGCTTCATGATTCGTATTAGTGGAAGAAAACATACAAAATAATATTTAGAATTAAAAGGCAGGATAATCCTACAAAAAGTCTCAGATTTTGTACTCTGTGCAGTTCGATATTGGTCCATCAGAGGATGCCATTTAACTACAAAGTGTTAGCTTGAACTGTAACCGTTCTTTCTGTACCCATTCTATATGTCACTGTAACTGCCATATCTCTGCTCAGTCTCACAAAACATTATTCTGTATTAGTACATAGACATATACACACTGGAGTCCAATGTTTATTTTTATTAATTTTTTTCATTTAAGCTTGAAAATAAACTTTTAGGATTTAGAAAAAGTGAAAACCAAGATAAGCTATGATATAAAATGCAGAAGAAAGAAGATTCTGCACAAATTCTGCATCACTAATCAGAGGTAGTTTGTGGTGTTTACCATGTTAAAGGGGTCATATGATGCTTTTTTAAAGATCATTATTTTGTGTATTTGGTGTAACAGAATATGTTGACATGCTTTAATGTTCAAAAAACACATTATTTTTCAAATAC